TTTTACAAACTTTTTTTTATTTTTAGTGTCAATTGCTAAATGATATGAATCATTTTAATCTCTTAAATTTAGGTTAACAACTTTTCTAAAAATGTGGCAGTACAATGTCTTATTACAGAAAACATAGGTATGATTTATAAGTATAAAAGAGCATAAGTACCTTATGCGAAGTTAATAAAAAATATACATCTAGGTATTTAGTATACCTACATATACAGTGTGTTTCAGAACTCGCGCTCCAGAGAAAAATACTAAATAAGATAAGATACCAGAAATATGGAAAATAAAATAAAATTCTATCTTTAAAAATTTAGAAATTATGAACGGTTAAGTTTTGCAGTTTGATCCTATTTATTTCTGTTGGAAAAACAATTTTACATGTTTTTTTTTGTTGTAGGCTATTAGAGAGAAAACGAAATAGCTGTGTCCTGATTTGTAATTTTTTGTTTAACAATATTTGTGGCTTTTATTGGCAAGGTTTTTGTATCTTTTCTAACTAATTATAAAATAGTACATTACAAACAAGATGGTAAATATGGCATTACTCAGAGTACCTACTCCTGTTTACGATCGAGAGGCATCAGTCTCGATAAAGCACAAGAGGTAATGCTATTACCACCGAGGTTTGTATGCTATTTTATTCATAATCACATTATTTGAATAAAATATAATTCTAACAAAGTTAAGGTTCAAACGTGGTAGCCCATCTAAATTGTGTTTGATTTTTAACATTTCATAAATGTCAAAGAAAATTTTGAAATAATGTGTGAATCTGATTTAAAATCGTTGAAATAGAACAGTGCATTACCCCAGAAGTAAGAAAAACTGATACAGAAGCTACTGAATACTAATTTAGCAAAATGTTATGCGTAACTTGTCAATTTGAAAGAAAAAATTCCCGATATTTTTGTAATCTTAACGTTGGCAAACCTGCATATTGCATATTACTGCTCACGAAATTTAATGATTGTTCCCAACATTTAAAAGGTTAGTAATTGGCATATTATTACATTAGTGATTGTGGATAAAAACATATACAAGATCATAGATAACATTGAATAGACATAAAAAAGTCAAATGTCAAAAAATAAGTGTGAAAATTTTTTGACGTAAAATTTGTTCAACATTTTTTTCATGTTCCTGGTAGCTTATTACCTTACTTGGCATTTTTCTCTAGAGCGCGATTTCTGAAACAGCCTCTATGTATGTTTTTATCTGCTTTAGATTTTTTATTTTAAGAATAAAACGTATTTTAACAATAAAAACGTAACATAGATAAAGTTTAGGCAAAACAATACTGAATAGTAACACTAACCTTCATAGATTAAATATTAGGAGTATCTGATAATTATTTTCTCTCGCAGAAATAATTCAGCAGATCTTTATTTTCTCTTTATCTTTATATTATTTATTATTCTATTATGATTATTTCTCGACTACATACCTACAAACTTTGTATTTTCCCATTTTTTTGTTATCCTGAGAATAAGCGTCATCAATCACATCAAAGTCAATATATCGCCATGTGACAATGTTTACACACAGTCATTCCTCCGTAGTACCTTATTCTGATAATCGTTATATTAATTATGAACTCTGTATTAATAATAAAACGGATTCAGGGTTCCACAAAAAACCCGTGATTTGAAATTGTATCAACAAAACACTAAAAACAAAAAATCGAATTATTGAAGAAACATTTTAACCAACAATTCACCAACAATTACTTCGAAAGTCAGGCAATTTTGATGTAATTAGTCAATAGAATTAAAATAGTCACAAACTTATTGTATGGTAAAGAGTTTTTTGAGTATTCTCTAAAGAAAACAATTTTAATTGCTTTTCTTGGTAACTATTGAATCTAGAAATCTTAATCTTGATTGGGGAGAAGTAGGTAACGTAAATGTGTGAAAACAATTTTTGATCTTGGAGATTTTGTACTTTATCAAGTAGAGTAACTTGGTCAATTTTATAATGAACTTAAGCTAAAGTACGCATTATTTCTGGATATTACTATTGTGGGGGAGATGATCAAGTAGTGATAAATAGAAGTACGTACAAGTTTTAAACAGTCCTGTTAGCCAATCATAATAACATCAAAATTACACTGACTACGAATATTCAATTCACCTCTCTTTTTTCAAATATTAACCAATAAAATAGCAGATATTTACTTTCCTACTGTTGCAACAGCAAATTCAAACGAATATTCCACTCGTGAAAATATAATTGAATATTCTACAAGTGGTTGCAGTGAATGTTTATTTGTTTATTAACTAACTTTATTATTTACCGTTTGCTATAAAAATAAAATCATGTGTAACGCAAATTTGCCATTTGATTTATTGAATAGTCGGTTGAATCAATTCGTAGTCAAAAATTGTAGAATATTATTATTCTTGGTCATTACAAAGCCTCGCATAATATGCAAAATGCATATTTGTTATTAAGAGGTATATCCACAAAAAGTTTTCTATGCATATCTAATGTTTTTTGATTAAATAGGCTCTCGAACGCCCAAGTCATGAAACGACTCCCTCGTTCAAGTTCGGAAAATCTTCGTGATGGGCTCGGAACGCAACTTTAACAATTTATTAAAAAAAAAGTACTGACTAGAAAACAATTCTGTTTAATTAGAGGTCATTTTTAGATCATAATCTTTAGTTAAAAAAATTACCATAGTGGGTTGCCATTTACAAAAAAAATTTTTTTCCAGAACTCGAAAACTAAAAAAAATTTCGAAAAATATTATTCTTGATAAATGGTCACATTTTAATTGGACTTTACGCTACACTAATTATTTTTTTTGTAAAGTGGTTAGTTTACGAGAAAAACGCTTCCATACTTTTTATTCACCTGGTATAATAAAGTTATTATTTTCTGTTCTTGGGTAATTAGTAATATTAGTTTATATACCTATGCATTTTATTTCTACATATAATCCTCAAGAATAAGAAGGGGCCCCCCGGCTATGTTTGAACCCAGGCCCCTGAATGTCTCACTACGCCACTGCCTGTATATATAAAAAAAATACTAAAAAAATGAATATAAACTAGATAGTTGTAATTTTTAAATCATAACCTTAATGAAATAAATGTTTTTAGTGGGTTGTAATTTAAAAAAAAAATATTTTTGTAGATCTGAAAAACAAAAGAAGATTTTGAAAAATTTTATTTTTGATAAAACATCACATTTTTATAGTACTTTATGATTCATTAATTAGTTTTTCCAAAATATGACTAGTTTAAGCAAAAAACGTTTGGTTCCATACTTTTTATTAACCCGGTATGGCTATAATCCTTCCATTCGGATAAGTAAAATAGTTGCCTGCAAGTAAATTTTAGTGAAATATTTAAGTGAAGTGATCTGAAAAGTAGAGATTTCTTAGAAAAGGTTAATTACTAGGTTATTAAAATGGCTTGGCTGAGGCAAAACCAATTTATTTATTCTCTTTCGTTCAAGATGCCTAAAATACAAAATCGAGAATAAAAATTTATCCCAACTTTGATTTTTTATTGTTAAAAGTTTTGCATATCAATGCATATTTGGCATATATTGGAGCATATTTCTTAATGTCTTGTGCATATTTTTGTGAAAATACGAGCATATACACTATGTCCCCGGATTGAGTTTACAAGAAGAAAATTTTTTTTTCTTTGATTTTACGCCAAAACTGCAAAGGAAAAACATTTTTTGCTTTACCTGAAACCAGCAAATCTGTAATTAAAACTTCATTATTCTATCTCAGTAGAAAGAAAAGTTTATTTTTCTCTTGATTTTGAACTTTTTGAATAATTTAATTTAAATCATTTTTCTCTGCTTTTTAAGTCCTATCACATTGGCTGTTTTATTATTTTGACAATGATAACACTTTGACAAATGAGTTTACGCAAGTTAAATAACAAAAATGTTTGTGAAAAACATAATTTTAATAAACAGCAACTCAAAGAAACAGCTTTAAGGTAAAAACCAAAGTCATTTTTAACAAGAACTATCATTATTTAATTAATAAATTATTTGCGAAAGTGACATATAGTTGTCAAATAATTAAAACCGCCAATGTGATAAGACTTAAAAAGCAGAGTCCAAAATTTTGAGAAAAATGAACTTTTCTTTCTACTGAGTTAGAATAATGAAGTTTTAATTACAGATTTGCTGGTTTTAAGTTAAGCAAAAACTTTTTTGCTTTGCAGTTTTGACGTAAAATCAAAGATAACATTTTTTTCCTCTAGTAAACTCAATCCGTGTATACGTATACTGTATACGTATACGTGCATATTTTACGAATTTTTCGTGCATATAATCCGAGCCTTAGTCATTACGCTTATGAACACCATTCAGGAAACGAATGACTATTCATAAAAATATTTGACAATTTGTGACTACTCGTATTATAAGTGATAATTTGCTAGTAACAAATGATATTATTGGTCGATTTGAAATTTTTTCTCATTATAATTAGCTGCTAGGCAATGACAGCGTCTATTTTTTCACGAATGTAATTAAACATAGTTTAAAAAATAATCACGCCAAACTGTTTTTTACATTCGTGATAATAATTTTTTATTATAATTTTAATTATGTATGTAGACAAGCACTCATCTTTGTCGCTATTAAAAAATCCCACTCGTGGACTAACACCAAAAATTTTGAAATGTTTTGTTTAATTTATATTATTTACAGTCAATATCAAAAGTTATTTAGTGGATGGCAATGTCTGTACAAGAGCGGAAAGTTTCCTGTGGCCCACAGCCTTCGTCGTAAGAACCGTCTTCGCATTGTCCCCAGTTATTTCCTATAAAAATAAATTATGAAAATTCTTTCAAATCTCAAAATTTTGTTTACAAACCCGCAGTGTAGGTCCATCTCAAAACACATCGATCACAAGTCAGACCATCGGGCAATTTAACAGTGGTATTAATAGTGTCATTGTCCTCTTCTTCCTTATTTGTCAAAACATATTTGTCTGATCCATCACCCAAAGTCACCGGTTTAAAGCATTCTTCTCCCGATTCTGGTTCATTTGGATCTTCCAAAATACACAAACTAAAGTTGAAATAGCCCATATGGTTCGTGGTAAGCACAACCTGAACATCGATAACACTTCCAGCTGTATATTCTTTGGCGATTATTCCTTGACCATATTTTCCCGTATTTTCATTGGCTTGTGGGTGAGGGTCGTCATACTGGTCACCACAGACTCCGCATTTGCCACCAAATTGATCCCATTGGACCTAAATACAAAAATGTAAAAACAAAACACACAATTTATTGAAAATTGCTTACTTACATTCATGCCGCCACAATAATTTTGGTCATCGTCATAATTAACAGGAGCGTTGGGATTGAAGCGCCACAAAGAGCTGCGATTTGGAGGTTCCATCAACATACCGTGACCGGAAATGTGATGGACGTAGAGACACAAAACAATACCCAACAAAGTGAATCTCATTTTTGCGAATTGCATTTAATAAAAAAAATTCTCTTTTATATAAATTTTGATAAGATGAGTGTTGGTTGGGTAAGTGTTTTGAATTCAAAAGTTAATTGTTTTTAAAGTGATGAACATAAGTATTTTGCAAAAATAAATTTTATCTATCTTAAAAGCTAAAAGAATCACGTGTAGAGATATAAAAAGATTTTTTATTACTCTCATTAATATCTTTTAAACGTTTTTTGATCTGGTTTTGAATCTCTAGACGAACTTTTCTTAGTCTTGAACATGGAACCGAAAAATCCAGGTTTCCTATTTTTCCCAGAAACTTTAGACAACTCGTTCAAAGTCGTAATAGTCTCATCCGAACTTTTCAGCTGTTTATCATTCTGAATCCCTCCATCTGTATAAACCGGGAAAATTTTTTTAGAAGTGTATAATTTATTATCAAAATGTCCGGGTACCATCCAGATCGGATTTCTTGGAATCGGATGTTTAGTTTCCTCGGCTGATGATCTAGAATCGCTCCCACTTGAGAATTTTTTCGCCAAAGAAGGATCAAATAGTTTCGAAAAACTCTCGTTATTTTTTTTTTTATAAGTCGTCATAGGATTTGCAACCTTGATTTGGCCATACATAACTTGCTCCACTCGTAGACTTTTGCTTCTAGAAGCCTGCAATTGCCTTTGGTTTTCGGCTTCTGGCACTTTCTCAGTGACAGAGGTTGCACTCTCATATTTACTTCCCTGTTCCGATGACTGCTTGAGAGATGTAGGTGAGGATTGCCTGACCTCTGTTATGGGAGCTGAAGGATTACTGTGGGGAGGTTTGTCTCCTGAACCACGGGCGATATCCGGTTTTTTCTCTGTTTGGTCCGACACTTCATCGTTAGCACAAGTTCTGAAAACTATCCTCCCTATACACTCGTAACTCCCTACTCGGTCTTCCAATTTTCGACCATGGGCTGGTTGCTTTTTGTATAAACAAGAGTCTTCATGTTTTTCTAAAACACTTATTTCCATGGCACAACCAGGACCATGGTGGCGCTCCACCAACAGCGGTAAGACAAATTTCGGCTCTTCTGTGGATCCACCAAGGTTTTCAGAGTCGTCGCGTTCGGTTACATTCAATTTGCTCTCATCTGATTCGGTTTCATGATATTTCTCGTCCACAGCAGAGTGATGTTTGTTCCCAGACTCTTTACTGTCAACCGGTTCGATGTGCTGAGGTTTCTCCTCCACAACAGAATCGGGTTTTTTACAGGTCCCTTTACAGCCGGTTATTGTTATTACGATGCCACCTTTACCGTGGGGGCAACTAGCGGGACATTGTTTAGCTTCGGGGTGACTCATTGACACGAAAAATTTTGACAATATTGACAAAACTAAAGCTCTCTTAACCCTGTTTTTATTTTTTTTTTTTCTATTGAACAAGAAATATGTACAAATCAATGTATTAACTATATCATTATTATTAAGGTTGAACTATACTGAATAAAAAAATAAATCGTTATTTAAAAATTCTGAAAAAATTCTTGATTGATAAACTTAGAATAAGTAAAATGTTATTTTTCGAAAAGTTTCTAACTTTGGTTGTGATTGTCTGATCTCTCAGAAATAAAAACGGGCAGGACCGAATTGCGGCGATGGTCAAATTATTAATCCTTGATCAAAAGGGTCTCAAAAAAGGTGACGACCGCGTTGCGGCGGTAAAAGACAGGTAGCAAGATTTTCATTACTTAAAATTTTTGCAAAAATGCTTTAGAAGTTAAGTTAAAATTTAATATAAAACCCATCAAATGTCATGAAATGGCTCGTCAAATCAAGAGGTCAAAAAATTATAAAAAAAATATCGAATTTTGCACAATGCTATACAGAAAAGTTGATTATCTTGGCTGATGATTGAACAAGTTTGTTAAAAATTTTAATAAACCTTATCTTGGCACTTTTTTCTTTTTTCTAGGAAAACAAAAATTGTTTTTAAAATTACAAATTACAACTTCCGTTTCTTTTTGCAGAGTGAGATAAATATTTTTTTTAAATATCTCCCACTGTAAACCTGCAATATAATCTCTAATCTTTTTTTCTACTCGTAGATAATTATTACAGCGAAAGAAAAATTATGTCCCATTAGTAAATTAATTGCGGTTTACTTTAAACCGGTAAGCTTATAGAGAGTATAGCAATAAATAGTAATTATTATCATGTAAATTAAAAATTGTTGGTTCTAGTATGACAGACGTTACTAATTTTTTTTAAATAAATCAGAATTTCAACATTTTGCATCTACTTGCCTAGCCGAAGCCGGGTCTAAGAGCTTTATTATTTTATGACGTATTGTTATTTCTAGCATTGATTAAACATACATAATATGGTTAATCAATGTTTCTAGTCTTCGGTGCTTGTTTACCAACTGCTGAAGGTCAAGATCCTTGAAGCCGGTTTAGAAAAAACCCTCTAGTGGCTAGTAGAAATATGAAAAACTGGTATATCACAAAGAAAGAAACCAATTCTGTTTGACTAGGACCAAGTGTATGTTGGGTTGTCGGCTACGGCGCTAAATACGGCGCCACCCTGTGTGCCAGAAACACATTACTTCCCAGTATAGTTAAAAGCTTTGTATTGCTAGTTGCATAGCCTCATTGTTACATACCAATACAAAAAACACTTATTTTTTGTGGTCAACAAAATTTATTTTACTTTATAATTGTGCTCATAATCTTACAAAGAAAATAAAGATAAATGTAATAGTAAATAAGCAACAATTAAATATTAAATGCTAATTCTCTTGGCGTCATAAACTGTTTTATAATATCGTCTGTAATTTTCGCTCTGCGTTCTTGATGTTGCGTTACAATTGGCGTCAATGTGTCAATAAGTATTTTTTTTAATTCTCCAGTCAGCAGCGCCCCACTTGTGTAGTCTTTCCTAATCTGTTCAAGCTTCCCATCATCTTCCAAAAAGAAAGTCAAATACTGATAAGAAATGTCAATATCACAGTTTCCTCCTAGCTTTTTGTGTTCCTCAACGGTACTTTGCCCCCCAGAAAATGCATGTTTGTTTATTTTATTTTTCACTTGTTTGGGTGTATCATTTAGATAAATGGTTGAGTTGGGGTCAGAGGCTGACATTTTAGTTTGAGCTCCCTGTAAAGCTGGGAAAAATGTAGAATGTAAGAGAGCAGGTTTTTTAAATCCTATCCTAGGTGCTACGTCTCGCGTCATTCTAAAATAAGGGTCCTGATCTATAGCACATGGGATCAAACACGGGATCTTTTTTCCTTTGAAAATGTGAGGAAATGATGTTGAGATAGCTGGGGTTGCTTGAACTGCCGGAAAAGCGACTTTGCCAATAACAGAACTGTCGTCAAAGCCGAAAATGCCTTTCACTTGGTTGAAAGTGACGCAGCGTTGGATCCTCACCATGTTTTGGTAAAATTCACGACATTGGCTGTAATGTTTCAAATTATTTTTAACCAGAAATTGTGTAATTTTTGACAAACCCAATGTAATTGAGATCTGAAAACATAAACGTTTTCTCTGGATCAAATCCCACAGCAATGATATCTTTAGCGTTTTCAATGGTCATTTTATGAACCTCCTCCATTTTCAGATCTTTCCACAAAAATTTCTCATCATCAGTCAGCTGGATGACTAGAGGTACGTTAAAAATATCTTGCAACCATTTGCAAAACATAAAAGGTACAAGATGCCCCACATGCATAGAGTTAGAAGACGGTCCTCTCCCAGTATACAAATAAAAAGGTTTACCACTCTCATACAATGTTAAAATGGAATGCATGTCTCTGTGTGAAAATACAATCCCTCGGCGCAAAAAATGATGAACTTGCTTTCCTGTTACTTTCTCGAAACGATCCAACAGCTCTTTATCTATTTTACTTGAACCGAATTTGTCTAAAAACAACAACAAAAATAAATGATGCAATAGTCAGATCGTGTGATTAGCACACCAAATTAGGTTTTTGTAGCAGATTAAAACATATGTAATGATTAATAAACAAACGTACTTATTAGTTTGTCGTAGTCAATGCCTTTTTCAGATGTACTCACTACATTCCATGGATCTACAAAATCGTCGTCGACATCGCTTTTGGCTTTTTCGTCAAGTTGCAAATTGTTAACTTCGTTGATTACTTCCCCAGACATGTTTAAATTAATTTTAATAAATAGAAATACTGAAATCAGTCACGGAAAGAAACAACGTGGAGTTGAGGTTACTCAAATGACGTTTCTCCATAGCGTTTCTCTTATTTCTCAGCCATGTGCATATGCACGAATAATGCAAACGCAATTTACTTTATTTTATTCTACAATATAATGAAACAAATTTGATTTTATTTTTTTATAATCTAAGGTAACATTGTTTTTTTTTTTATAATTTATGTCGCAAATAAAAAATAAAAGCTTTTTTGTTAATCACTATTGCAAAAACAGACTGAGCAATTGTTTTTTCGGGCATGTAAACTTGTAAACATAAAAGTTGTTGATGTTGGTGCGTGCTGAAGTATATCTGGTTGCCTAAAATTGTGTAAAAATCAGCTTAAATAAAGGTATTTCTACTTCGCACAGAAAACAATTATTAGAGAAGCAACAATGTTGGTAATTTAAATTAATTTAATTTTACGCTAGTATGAATGGAGTCAGCGATGGGTAAATGCCCGAGATTCAATTTTTGAACACCATAAGACGTGAGGACGCTACTTTCGGCACGCACCCTTAATATTAAAGGTTTGACAAATTTTCAAACTCTTCGTGCGTATTAATTCAGGTATTTTTATTTATTTACTAAAAAAACATTAGAACCTTATAAAATTAATAATTTTTGACATTTAACTACGACAAGAAATTATCACAAGGGATTTCAGTTCAGTGTATTAGGATAGGTATTAGATAATCATTTTTTTAATGTTTTTGATTCATTAAATTTATGTCACCTAAAAGTGTTTCACGTTTCACAACTACTGTATCGCATTGAAGAACGACAATAAATTAGTAAAAAAAATTAGAATTCATCACTGTCATTTATTTGCTAACCAAAAAAATTAACCAAACTTTTCGCAAGTCAAACCAAAAGTCAAAATTATGTTGTCCTCGTAAAATCGTCCATTATGTGCCCTTTTGAAATCCCCGCATTCAAAACTTATCATTTCCAGTGCGCTTTGTCTTTGGACTAGTCGTCGTTGTCCTGCGCATGACCGGAAACAGCTGTTTAGCTGTCAAATGGTCGTGCACTGCACATCGTGTGGTTTGTTAATGGGCATCAAAACAAAGGTGTATGTAAATATTCTATACGAAAACCAACATGCCCTGGTATAAAAATATTATACCGGAATCTGTTCAAAAAAAGTGTTATGTCTATCTCATCCAGAGGTACTTGGGGCAATATTTCGAAGAAAAACTCGACCCCAGTCAACTCAGTGTGGATTTATACAATGGCACTTGTGTCTTGAAAGACATCCGTCTGGACGTTGAGGTAAGCACCGATTTTATCTTTGTAAATCATTGGCAATACACTTAAGCCTATTGGAAATCTTTTACGCACTTGTAATTATCGAAACGTGTGGTCGACGAGGTCGTGCGTCGTTGTTTTCTTAGATTGTTTGAAATTATCAGATTTGAAGTTGTAAACATGCGCCAAAATAAACATCTCCGATTTCAATTGATCGATTCGGTTTTCTCTTTAATTCATGAATAATTTGTTAAATGCTGTCGTCACAGTCTAATAATAAAATTAATGTTACCACGATTTATCGTGATTGCAAAATTTGGATGGTTGATTACACTGAGATTCTTTGTCATCTCATTACCTGAAGACCTTCAGCATTGAGGTGGATAACGTCTAATGCAAACTACTTTATCAAACTTCCAAATTGTTTAAACAAAAAAAAATCATTGTTATGAATCGATTCTTAAATTGTGTGAATAGGTATTATAATACATACAGTGGCTATACACAAAAAATATTTTTTCCGGCATCTTTTAATGAATTAACTTGTTCCTAATTACAAGAAACAAACCTTCAGCAAAAACATAAAAAGAAACTTGGAAAAGAAGAATTTATGACGGATTTTAGTGAAATTATTAATAATTATAATGCCAAACTTGAAGCGCGTAGCCTTTAGTGTGTGTCTTTTATTTTAATTTGTAAGGGCCGTAGCCGATATAGATGTAATACCAGGCGTGGAAACACTATTGTTATAATGGAAATAATGATCAAGTATAACGAAAAATATGTTTCCAGAAACAAAGTGTAATTACTTACTTGCTCAGAACACAATGCACAATCGATCAAAAAGGAGTGATTTGTTTTGGTAAATAGACAAGAATTGTTAAAATATCGTTACTGTTTAATGGAGTTGCTTTTTTAATGAGACTCAGTAGGTACATATTTTTAAAACAATTTAACTGAAACGCTTTTGTAAATGAGTTACTGGAATTTAAGGGATATTAAATTAAAATTTTTGACGAGCAATAATCTTTATTTGTATACCGTACGAAGCTATTATTTCCGATTTCTGAGACAGCATAAATACTCAGTAAAATTGTCTATTTATTGAGAAGAATTTTTATTCCAGAAATAAAAATACTTTGGACACTTCCTTGTTTTAAAAATAAGTTTAGAAGATTCGAAATAACTTCATGTACATTCTTTACTTTTAAAACGAAATATTAATTATGATTTATTTTTTTAAACTACAACAACAATAAACAAACAAAATTAACGACGGGTCAAGATTAAATACTGATGTCAAGTTTTCAATTGAATTCATATTCAAGGTTATAATGCAAAATTTCTTCAGGCCCTGAACGAGTTATCCGAGAAACAAAACTGGCCTCTGGAATTCGTCGACGGTTCCATTGAAAATCTCTTCATATCAGTACCATGGAGTTCTCTTTTGAAAGAATCAAGTACCATCGAAGTTACTTCCTTAAGGATCACGATGCAACCAAAACAACGATACGAATCCGGTTAGTTAAACGTAGCCTCATTCCATACATTTGCAAATCTTATTGTAATTTATCGACTCATTATCATTGGTAGAAATATTCTTTTTTGACAGCTTGTTGTTAAGAGATTATTACAGCAACTTCAATGTTCGAATCGATGTGGACGTCAATGACCAGTTCGCTACATTTAGCCGAAGAATGCGCTAAACAGGGGTTTGCAAATTCACCGAATAGTGCACAAACGTATGAGGGACTGGAAGTTTTTGCTCAAACGATTGATTCAAGTAATAACCAAAACGTAGTTTTGCGAAAATAATTGTTTCTTTGTAGTTTTGAGTAGGATAAAAGTAACTTTTATTAACTCAGTTTTTCAACTCGAACATCTTCCTAAAGGTAGTCCAATGGGTGTAGGAGTTGTTATCAATGTAGATTTGTGAGTTTTTATCAGAAATTTAAAAAAATATGTATATTAAATTAAAAATTCCCAGAATTATGTACGCCGACGAATCGTCTAATGATCCTCCTAAAGAGGAGGCCACAGATCTTACAAAACAAGACGATAAAAAGGCATACCTTGAACAGTCGTACACAGCTCGGCTAACTCGATTAGAGGGTATTTCAATATCTACTGTAGAATTCTCAAGTAATGCTCGAACAGTCTCACAAAGTGTAATATCAGAGTCAAATTATTACGATAAGGACGATTCTTTTGCCACTATCATCGAAGGTGATAGTGAAAAATGCTCCAAATCAAGTAACCAAGATCAATACAGCTCGAGCGACGAACGTAACGTCATCATGTTTGGCAAATTCGGTGGAAAAGTCGAGGTAAATCGTGCGATATTAGAAAAAATCGAGTGTATATACAACTCACGATTTAGGTCGTGGTGCGTCTGAAACGAACCGAAGATTTGGAAGGACCGAAAGTCTCAATCGAAATGGATACGGGTCCTTTACTACTATTTCTCTCTCCAAGACAATTACATTTACTTATTGAACTTGTTAAAGGGTTATTAAGTCCTGATACGGAGGATCACAGGTGGCAATGAGAATTAATTGTGTTCTTTAGTAACTTAGTCATTTTAGTAATATACTTTCGACGAAATTTGTGGGAAAACCTATGTCTAGTGCTGACTATGAACGGATCGAAAAGGACCTCCAGCAGCAATTGACCCATCCAGGTCCGAGTTTTCCGATACATGGAGTTCCAGGCGGCCACGGATGGGCAACTGGAGCTTTAGACGGTAGCGATATTGAAGATAATTTCATGCCTTTGGGGAAATACTCCGGGGCGTTGTATGAGAGTGCCATGTCCGGAGCGAGTATGGAATCGAGTATGAGCTCCAGTATGATAAGTTCTTACACTGATGTCACAAATCGGGCAAGGAAAAAATGTAAAACTTTCTTTTTCTTTTGATTTGTGTCTAATTCCCTTTTTTGTAGTGAATAAAATTGATACAGACCCAACGGCGGAAATCTCTCGTTTTGAGATTCACTTGTCATCGCTGGCCGTTCTTTTGTTACACGAAGACTTACTAACAGAATCCTTGGGTGCAAAATGTAGTTTGGTGGCGTCTAGTGTGAAACAAATGCAAGATACTGTTGCAAAATTTTTCACGAATTCAGTATCAGTGTTTTCGGCTAAGGATTTTAACAGTTTGAATGTAGCACTAGATCACGCGTGTCAGTTGAATCATTTAAGGTAGGACATGGTTGGTTGAGTGTGGTTAAACTTTAGTTGACCAATGCTTATTTTAGATTATTAGCTTCACCGTTGCATCTAGAAGGCGACGAGAAAACAACAAGTTCGGCTTTTTCAGTTACTGGTTACCTTGAAGCTACCAATTTAGAACTGAGTGAATGTCTTTTTCAATCAAATAATGATAATGTAGAGCACGTACCTTTAATTACGTTTAGTGATGTTAAACCGAATCAGTTCGGGAGTCCTGTCACTGCCAAACCTAGCCTTAAGTTGATGTTTAAGTATTTAGTGAAGACGACAAAAAACAGCCTGACTAAAGGAGGACCTAAGACCGAGTTTATGTAAGTAGTCAAAGCTGACCCAACACGAATAATTTCTTTTATACAGGCTTTCACTGCATAAATGTGTCTTAGAGTTAGACGTGACTCTAATTGATCGAATTTCGGCACTGTTGAACCCTCAACCCATTTGTGTGGTGGCTAAACCCACAAACCCATGGACAAATAATGTGACTACTCATTTGATGAACGATAGTAATGAGACCAAGTTCGACATTAGGGTGAATTCACCTTTAATGACTGTCAAACTTAGGTTTCCCATACCGGATTTTCGGCCTCCACATGACATGAATAAAACTCCGTGGTGGAAGAGACATGTTCGGGCTGATTTTTTGTCTCTAGTTTTGACAGGAGCATCCTTTCAGACAAGTTTTCAGGCTAATCAGACCGTCCAGGATTACACGTTGGAGTGCAGAAGTTTGAATATCTTCTATCAAGAAGATGCCAATGGTGATGTACTTCCAGTAGGGAAGGCGGGGTATGAGGATAAGCCGATGACGTCTCTACAGGATGTGATAACCGAATGCAAGTAAGTAAATGATAAATTTTAGTGTAGCTAAAAACTATTTTTAAATTTACGATGAAAATTCGATAGAGAAACAAAAACCAACGAGCACAATTTTAAATTTCTATTAACAATAAAACTAACAGTGTTGTTAAGTCAGTTATGATAATTTTTACAAATCAACTTGATCCAGTCGTTTCTTAGATCTAAGAACAAAACATTATTTTGACATTTAGCAAGGCAAACAAAAGTATCTAAAAAAAATATTTTTTTGTATACGCTCCCGAAAACAGCTGTTTTATTAGTCTTTCCCGGACTCAATAACATAGTACGCAAAACGGTTATTTTAGGTACTCGGTCACCAAAAACAATTTTTGCGGACTAAAAAATAAAATTGGTTACTATGGTAACGAAATTTTTTTAATTAGTAAGAGGTGTGAATTCGTGTTTTGGGAACTTTAAGAAAAAAAATTGTATGCACCACGTACTCAAAAGGTTTTAGGTGACTCCTCTCATTAAAGACTCGGCTCCTACGTCACCTCGTCATTAATTACGATTCATTTAAGTTCATTCATATTGACTTCATTCCTGGTATAATGAAACAACAACTCTTTGTAGTTAAGTGCAGCTCTAACAAGTATAAAAGAAAGCAAAAAATTATTTATAAATTATTTATTTATTATAATTTTATTATAACCACAAAAATAAAAAATGTAAAAAAGGAATTTTTTTCTTACATTTTTTGATTACGTGTTATCGTCAGTACGTAACATTTTTCTTTATGACGCCACTTCTGGGACTGCATAGATTTGAGTATACTTAGGTAATGAAAAATAGTGCAATTGTAATTACGTATCTACTTATAATTACATATTCCACAATATGCCACCTCTGAATTCTGAAAGCACTGGAAGTTGAATATTTGGAATATTTCTCAAATTATTGATGGCGCAACAATAAATTGTTCCCTTGCCAGCATCAGAAAATTTCAGTCGTAAACTTCCTAGCCACATTACCTGTTGACAATTTACTATCAAACAAGGACTAGACACAGAAGTTCCTACACTGTTAACGCCAATAAAAGCAATTCCTTCTCCAGAATTCGCATCGATTACCGCTTTCCAAAAGTATTTCTGAATGGGAATTTGTACTAAATGCCTTATTGTTTCCGTCGTCCCTGTGTAGATAACTAGAGTACGTTTAGCGCGATTACTGGCCGTTCTTATCACTCCTTCAAGAGTCTTCCAATTACCACTGTTTAACTTGGGAGTTTGTGGTGAGGTGTTAACGTAATAAAAAGTCATTCTTTTTTCCGGTCCGGTGAAAAAATCACACCTCGGCGTCAGATGGCCTTTGTCATATCCACTGTGATAATATTCTCGTTCCGGGTTGATTGTCGTGTGAATCATTTTGAAAAAATCTGTTTTGAAGCTTACTCTGTCACGTACCTGGCACGAATACGGCGATGGTCGTAGAATATTTCTGGACCAGTAAGTTGCCAATCTTTGTGCATCAAAACATAGCGTAATTTTTTCAAGAAAATTTGATGGAGAGAGTGCGAAACCGAAGCGAATTAATCTTGCGCCCGCGTTGCATTGACCGACATCTTGAGCATATGACATAGGCGGATTCTGACACTTTAGAATTTGAAATTTATAGGAATTTCCGTTTGGGAGAATGAATTTGTCATTTTTGCACGTAGCTGTTTCTAGATAGCCATTTTGGGAATTTATAACATTAAGATGATTATTACTACCAGAACATAAAAGTTGGATCTGTGCCTGGTTTGATAATGTAACTTTTCCTTGTTCGTTGTCGGGAAGTAAAATATCGTTGTTTAGAATAACGAGAGGAGATTTTCCGTTTAAATCTGTGTCGAGATTGAAGGAGCATGATGCGGATGTGTTATCTGGAAATAGTGAATTTTGTCAGATTTAAAAAATTGCCGAAAGTACATTATTTTATAATCTTACCTACTGCGAGAGCAAGAAAACACAAAACAAACATGTACATAAACATCGCATAAACTAATGTTTGTTAAACTTTGACTGTTTTATCTTTTATACTACAACTTTAATCTGCAGGAAAACCACACGTTTTAAAAATGTTGTTCTGTAATATTTTTTCCCAGTGATAACCCCTTTTGATATACATATTATTAGGTTGAACATAAAAGTCTTCCCCGCCAAACGCCTCAGTTTGGAAGAGCCGTCCCAAACGATCCAAGAACCAATTTCCACTTCCATCGTTGGTTTTTTGGAAAATCGCAAACCCAACGGTCCTTTTAGCGCCAAAAGAGTGATCCACGAGAGTGACACCCCACACCACAAGTACCAGTCAGGTACTTATCTACATTCCGCTTTTTATTTTCATTTTGGCTGTTACCTTGTAGATGATTCTAAAGAATTGCTAGTCCCAGGTGACAAATCCGAAATAAACGAATTTATTAAGAGCACGACCTTATCGGCAAGAGTTCGAATCGACATTTCTTTGCCGATTGTTTCGATGCAGTTGATTTCGAAACGTTTATACGAAACGATCTACAATCGAATCAACAATGATTTGTTACTATGGGAACCCAGTGCTCCTAAACCTAAACCTACTAGGCCCGCTTATGATAATATCAATTACGGCCCGTTCGGAAATATCGAAATGGAGGGACAAGAGGTGTTTACGCTTTGTAAGAGTGGAATCCAATACGGTATAAAGACAGTACAAAGTCATGGGAGATTAATACCAAAAAAATATTTTGTAGATTCAGAAAGTGAAACTGATGATGAAAACGAAGAAGACACAAACATTTTTTATTCAACTTATGGCTCAAAAATGAAAATATCTCAAAAACAAATTGTCAGCGAATCAAAAGAGGAGAGTTACTTAACCATGAATTTACAGATTGGTCGTGGTTTACTTTGTATGTGCACACCTGTGCGTGACGCTACCAATAATCACGTAATACCCAACCAACAAGGTGAATTTTTGATAAACGTGGAAGACGCGACAATTTTCTTAGTTAACGGTTATATGGGTGACCCTAATTTAGGTTTCACTTGTCTAGAATTACACAATGCTCAACTTTACCACTGTGGTGAGTTACATTATTATTGTTATATTATTTTTTTGAATTCAATTTTTGAAGATATGATTTCCACACCGAGTCACAGCCCACCATTAAAAGATATTGGTGCGACTCCTGGCAAACACCTGCATCCCACGATTTACAGCTCAGAACCTGGAATGTTGGCTAATGGCAGAGACAGAGGAGGTAATCGCGAGATGGTCACACTTTGTGTCAAAATCCAAGCTAGTCATGAAACTCACCACGTCAAGGTTAGTCTAGTCTAATAATGAAAAAAATTCGGTATGAGTTTTGTGTGTTTTAGAATGTATCGATCGCTGCTGGATTTAATAAAGTTACTCTGAGGCATCGAATGTGTAATGAACCTAATAGTTGGGTATCACAATTAACTGATTTTTTTAACGTAACTGACTATCCGATTCCTGGTTATCACGCTAAAGAGATTTTAACAGAGTTATTTCTTCATTTTTGGGATTCTGCAATTGATTATCGACCTAAATATTTGCCGTTAAGGTCGGCGATAACGTTGGGGAATTTTAGTATTTCGTCGCACTTGAGTGCAGAGGTTAATACTTCCACCTTGAGGTTTATAGCGGAGGAGTGCGGGTTGTTTTTGAGTCAAAAAGGGGTAAAGAAAACTGTTTTACCATACACGGGACCAGTGGACCTTAAAAGGGATTATGTCAATGTTATCGACCTAGGTTTGTTTGAAATCAGTCTAAAAACATCAGATAAGGTTAGCTTAACACTCTTTGGTTTAAAATTTTTAAACGTCTTATTGCAGAAAAATTTCGATACACCACATTTTGATTTGCGGGCGTCTAATAACATTATACACATCCGTACCTGTGCCGACAGTGCACGCGCTTTAACCCAACTCATCAAATATCTGGCGAATTACGGCGATTTGGTACTGCCTGATGACAGTACGTCGAACGGAAGTACTTTCTCGAGCCCTCGACATTTACCCGAACACGAATTAGTTTCGGTTGAGCCTCAAGAAATCACAAATTTGTCCGAAAGTCAGCACCAACAAATTCACGATCTCATACAAGACGCTTTGGAAGACGTCGACCAAAACACCCAAAATCAAGGTACTACCGATTTTCGCAAAACAAAATGTGACCGAATTTTTTTAGTTAAATCTGATTTGTACACTTACAACGGCACAAAAATGTTCTATTTTCCCGATGAGAAAAATCCACAAGATTCGGGAAAACCCCTACCTCAAGTAACTACCGAACTGGGACAATTGCCCTTCCAACCGAACACCATCGAGTCTGATGACGAGTTTTGTTTTATTGATGAAGAGCCGGGTTATAATATTTTTCCTAAGAATGGCATACCGGAAATAAAATGGCTGACGGACGATCCTGTTCGAATTGTGGATAATCATTTTGCCGTTCCGAGCGAAAAGTGTGACCCACTTAAAACACCGAAGAATTTTCCAACTCCAACGCGAAAATACACTCTTTGTGAAATGAGTATCGTTTGGCATATGTATGGTGGCAATGATTTCGGTCCAGTTGACAAAGAGAAGAAGAAAACTGTTAATTTTTCTGATTTGAAAATCAAAGATAGTGTCAGTTTTTCAACTTTACAGAAAGATAAAGTCGTGATTGAGAGTGAGAAGATTAGGAAAAAGTCGTGGTTGACTAAAGGAGGCCCTAACCGAGATCATAACATCTTAATGGAGTTACAGTTGAATAAGATCAGATTTCAACATGAAGTGTATCCAGACTCGTCTTCGAAAGCGTCAAGACAGGTATTGATTATTTCAGAAATTGAAATGAGAGACAGACTTAAAAGTAGCCAAATGAATAAATTCTTGTACCAGTACATAAGTCAGGTTCGACCGAAACAATCCAACGCCAATATGGTGGGTACAGTGTTACACACTTTAGGCCAAAATTATCGTCGTTTGTTTTAGCTTGTGATAAAAACACTCCACATACGCCCAGATCCGCAGTTGCGAAGCCAGGAATGTTGTCTCAAAGTGTCAGTTTTGCCGCTTCGTTTTAATATTGATCAGGATGCTTTGCAATTTCTCATTTCATTTTTTACTGAATTGGGTAGTGATATGAAAGATGGTAGTCAAGGTCGTTTATTTTTTGTAATATCTAATTAAATTTTTTAAGACGAGCTGCAAGTCAACTCAAAACACAGTACTCCAGTACATCAGCCGCCTGTGATGACTGTAGGTGAAGACAATGACGAGAAGTTAAAAGAAGAGGCGAAGAAGATCGTTGATGAGAATCTCCTTATTTTATTAGAAGAGAATAAAAATGAAGAAAAACCCACAGAAGAGTCTCAAATCTCATCAAGTAGCGGATCTGAGGATAGTCCTGTCTACTTTAGGTACCTCCAAGTCCGAATACAAATATCAAAATTATTTCTTTGTTTTGTAGGAAAGTAATCTTTTCACCAGATGTGCCTATAAGACTAGATTATCACGGTAAACATTTCGATTTGAGAACTCACGGTCCGCTCCAAGGACTCTTGATGGGTCTGGCTCAATTAAATTGTTCAGAACTTAGGTTAAAGAGGATTTCGCACAGACACGGATTGCTAGGGTTTGAAAAGTTGATGATGTTCTTGATTAAGGAGTGGGTCAATGACATTAAAAAGAATCAAATTCCTAGTCTTTTAGTGGGTGTAGGGCCGATGTATTCGTTTGTGCAGCTATGTAAGTATTGAGTTCTTGCTACGTCTATTAGCTGATCAAATCTGTTGCAGTTCAGGGAATCAGAGATTTGTTTTGCTTGCCGTTCGAGCAATACAAGAAAGATGGTCGCTTTTTCCGAGGCCTTCATCGCGGTGCTAATAGTTTTACTACTTCGACGGCAATGGCAGCTTTGGAGCTTACGACACGGCTTATTCAATTGATTCAAGTAAGTTCAAACGATTTATAAGACGTTTTTTATCGTTTTTCTTTTCAGATTACTGCAGAAACGGCTTTTGATATGTTAACACCTGGCCCCAGCGTAAAAGTTCATCCGAAGACGAAAGTGCGGCGAAAGCGGTATAGCCAACCTAAGGATATAAGAGAGGGGGTGACTAATGCCTATAAGCTAGTTAAAGAAGTAATTCAGTTGTGGTTTTTGTGATGTTTTTGCTACTTTAGAGTTATTTTTAGGGAATTGAGGAAACTGCCGATAATATACTGCAAGTGGCTTCACACGAGCACGAACAAAAAGGTTACAGTGGCGCTGTCGGGGGCGTTATACGCCAAATACCTCCGACTATTATTAAACCAATTATTATAGCTTCTGAAGCTACTAACAATGTTTTGGGTGGTATGCGATGTCAGTTGGTACCAGACGCAAGAAAGGAAGCAAATGAAAAATGGCGTAACGAAGATACCTACGATTCTTACGAGTGATAACAAAAGACTGTTGTTTGTGATTTTAAATTAACAATATAGATAATTTCGTTTAAGGTTGAATTGAGTTTGTTATTTAAAGTGATTAGAGATTTTTTACGTAGTTATGTTATCTAATCAAATATTCAGTGTCCATATAACGCCATTTTGGTATGACTTAACCTGAGATGAATACTGAATGATAAAAACGGGACAATATATTTTCGTACGTTGAGCAAAATTCCGATGTTGTTCTCAAGTGATATTCTAATAATCCGTACAATTACAGCAAATGATTTCATTTGTACCGGTTATTTATTTTTTACGTTGTGTGTTCATACAGATTTTTATACATTCGGAAACGCAAATGAGAAGAAATGGATGGAGATTTACCATTTTGTGATAGGATTATTGTATCTAAATAATTTTTCATGTATGCAATATGAATAAATTTTTATACTTCTCAAAATTCGCGTTTTCTTATTTTGATCAAATCACTTGATGTCAAAAATAACACTTTTGTCATGGTAACGCATTTAGTTGAGTCATGGTATATATATCCAAGGCACTTCGATTGTTATTTAAAGTCAAACTTGTCAAAAATGGAGTCAGACTTGGACTTTTTTCCGGATTATTTGAACGGCTACCAGTTCGACAATGGCGAAGGCGAAGAAGTGGAAGAAGAAGAGATCAAATACCATTACATCGAAATTTTGGACGCTCCTCGAGACCTATTACCACCGGTCGAATTGACTTTGAAAGACCTCTCACACATAGCGAACGAATTGGGTTTGATAAAACTTTGCTGGCCCGAGATCGAACATCCGGAATTTGAGAATCGAGTGAACTTCCCGGAAAGCTACTTAACCAATTCCAATAAGGAGAAGTTGCTTTTGCTCTACACGGAAAATTTCAGGAGGCAATTCAGCTACAAGTATCCTCACAGGAAGCAGTTATTTCTGGCCAGTAATAACGAATGCGGAATGCAGGTAAGCAGAGAGCTTCCTCGTTTCCACCAGAGAGAGATAGATGGGGTGTGGTTGAATTTTTCAGAAAATGGTGTGCACTACGATTCGTCCCACAACGCTTCCGTATCCGGAAATTGAAACTTGGCAGGACTGCGCAAAATTTGTGGGGAGTGCGCTGAGGTTTGAACCGTTTGAGATTCCCACCTTGATTGTAAGTAAAAAAAACTGCAGGTTTGTTACTAAAGTGTAAGGTGTAAAGTGTCTCTTCAACTGAAAATTAATTAAAACAACCCGGCATATGGTCGGCTGACAACTATTAAATGATTAAATATCTTGTAATTGATCCACAATAACTATTGAATAGGTAACTAGAAATAGCTATTTATTTGTTTAAATAATAATTATTCAGAATTAAAAACAAATTACTATCAAAATGAATATAAAAAGTGAAAACGAAGTGCTAGTTGTACACAATTATAACTAATGTCTGTTAAACTTATTGTAACTGAGGTATTCCAAAATGTGCAAAAATAACAGAGTTTTGAGATTGCATTATTGGCTTTCCAACAGGACGCGTTGACATTCCAGCTGGACGCGAGATAAATCAGTCCTAGGAAGTTGGAAGAGTTTTATCCATCTCGATTTATTTTTGTGGACAAAGTACAAGTCTTGCTGACAATCAGAGTCCATTTACCGGTCATAAATCGTAGGATGGGGCATAGTGTTCGAACCGAATAATGGTAATCAGATACGTATCGGTAGAGAGCCGCGGGGTTAATTCAAATTAATACATCATTAGTTACATTGACCGCAACAACATCCACATCGTTGAAAAGACATATTTCATGGACGCTACCTATGATAGCTGAACGAGAATAAATCGTTTTGAAACTCGCCCACTTGTCAAACTGTGATATTCTAACGGATTTATCGAATTTATAGCAGACGGGGGTCAGAGTAATTGACTAAAAGTGGGAGAATTTTTATATAAAAACGCGCAACTTTTCGATTATGTGCCGTTTAACCCTACGTAATGCGAACTGATGAAAAACTATAAATTTTTAGATAGATATGTCGGAAAGTGGGACGGATTTATGGTCTCTATAAAATAAAACCGAGATTAAAAGATAGCAAAATCGACGCTTTGAAAGTTTTACAAGTGTTCGAGATAATAGAAGACTGTGTCCCTTGTGTCTTTACTAATTTTCATGACGCCACTTATTAAAGTGACTTTTCTCAACTTTTTAAACGACGGCTACTTTATTTTATTTTATTTTTAAGTTACGTCAGAAGTTATAAATTCCATGCAACAGGTAAATATGGTCTATAAAATATTGATTATCCTGTAAAAACGTTGTCTCTGGACATTTCGTGTCTCGTGATCGTTCAAACTTCAATATTCCATCCAGCACTATCCACTTATGGAAATAACCGTTTTTTCCTTGACGCAAAAATGTCGCTTCTAGACCAATAAGAACCCAGCGTAAGTTTTTCGTCTGGGAAATTGTGTCAGCACCGGTCCCTTTCTACCGGAGTAAATAATACAATAAATGAAACCTTCGTCGATTCTACTTTTTGTATTTCTTCGGTCAACGTCAGAGTGTAGGGTCGAAACTGGTTGGCGACTTTCGCTAATTTCCTCGGATTTACTTCACTGAGAACCGGCTCACAAAAGAAAACCTGGTTGTAATGCGAAAAAGTGAATCGGTGCACTTCTTAACTGCCCATAAAATTGGTTTTATTGGCGAGTTTAATTGACAAAATTATACAATGTAAGTGGGTTCAGATCCGGCGAACACGCTGGCCGGTGTAAAACCTCGACGTTCTTTAACGGGCCGTAAAATCGCGTTTTAATCGCTTCACTTGACGACTGGATTATATTCCATGGGATAATATAAGAGCACGCCTTCTGTCTAATTTCATAACCACTTATTATATTAAAATACCTCTCGCATGTAAAGGGCTCTAACGGGCCATATTAGATAATAATTCGTCGAGGGTGAAGTCATTTTAGGGGATGCGAATCGTCCGGTCTGGATATAAAAACATCCCCTGCCGATATTAGCGGACCTCCCTTCAAAATAAACGCCTCAATTTTCTTATTGTGGCAATTATTAGCCGACAGAAGAGGAATTTCGATTGCTGTTGTTTGGAAACCGATGTTTCGAGATGGCTAATTGTACATCGCGGAAAACAAAGCTAATCTGAATGTTAAACAACTTATTTGCATGTTTATCTCGCAATTGGACTTCGCTGTTGACATCTTTGGAGCTTATCAAAAGTTGTCAGGTTTTCTCAGTTCCGTTCTGTAATCGATGAACAACAAAAATATTTTTTTGAAATTTGGGGGTTACTTATGTGAAAAAACAAAATTATAAAATTAATTAGAGATAAATTTCAAAATCTTTATGACATATTTATATCTGAATATTATAACTTCATTTCAACTTAACAAAAGTAGTGTATGTATTTACAAAATGAAATGAAATGTAATAGGTATAAACGTTTTAGTTTTGTGACAAGTAAGTTTATAAAAATTGAATATTTAAGAGAATATCTTAATTAAAAAATAATCAGGCGATAATTTTGCTTAGTTATGAAATCGCATCAAAACAATTTGTATACTTTATTGAATCTTAACACTCTTTTGCTAACGTTTTAGTTTACTTAAATAAAAGTGAATTAATGAAAACAAAAAAAAATCCCTACCTACATATTTTCTAACATGTACCTATTTATTTAAATTTGACGTCATAGTTGCCGGTGATATGAGTGTGTTGTGAACGGACCACAATTTTTAATACGCCCGGCGAGGTGTCAATAGTATATTACAGTACGAGTGGAGAAACTAAAAGATACCCCCATGCGTGTGTCGGAGATGACACACAAGTGGGTGAATTAGATTCTCAGGAGTGCGTTTTGTTCACTCCTGCCAGTGAATCATGGAACACATTACACACACACATTACGTGAGGTAAAAGTGTGAGGTAAAACTATAAATAAATACACATGTTGAGCAATTTTAAACGAAAGATTCTTCTTTGAGTGAGGTAAATGAGAGGGCAAATGATTACCTAACACTTTTACCTCAGGTTGTCATGAGTGAGCAAAACAAGTACTTTCTCGTTTTGTATCCTAGTGAGAAACGACAAGATTCGATAGCAGGATTGAACAAATGTCATATCATAACTAACAATAACTTTCAATACGATGGTTAGTTCACAATCGAACTTTCATGGATATCTTTGACGCCAAATATAAAAAAACACTCGTTACAACAAACACAATAGTACGAATTTTTATAGACTAAAATTTTATCAAAATTAGATACCTACATAATTTTACTACAAAATAGTTTGTTGAATTTTCGTGAATTATAATATCAGAATATCACAAGTGTTTATGAAAACCCTTTGGTTTAGCAAACTTAGCTCTTTAATTTTTATCAATTTAGACTTAAAATGTCTGTATAATAATTTACTAGGTACTTCTTATTGAATCCTCTTGGTATGGGAATGGAACACAAACACAATTCAACCCGACACACCAAAGTTTTATTTTTAACACAAATTTCAAAGTGGTCATGCTCAGGTGAAAATAAATAAACTGTGTTTGTGGTTATCTACAATAATTATTCACGTTTTTCTAAATATAAATAAGGCACTGAATTTTTCTGATATCGACTTTGATAACAATTATACCAGGTGAATAAAAAGTATGGAACCAAACGTTTTTTGCTTAAACTATTTATTTTTTGAAAAAATTAATTGATGAGTGCTAAAGTACTATAAAAATGTGATGATTTAACAAGAATAAAATTTTTCGAAATTTCCTTTGTTTTTTTGAGTTCTACAAAAAAATTAATTTTTTTAAATGGCAACCCACTATAAAATGATTTTTCTCATAAAAGCTATACTCTAAAGTTACAACTATCTGCTTTATTTTTAATTTTTTCAAAAAAATTTTTTCACATAAATTGCAATTTCGACAAAAAAAAAACGCATAACTCAAAAACAAAACAAAATTTTGTTCTGAAATCACGATCACATTTTTTATATTACTTTAATTTATATTAATTATTATTTTCCGGAGGCAAATGATTAAAAATAAAACCGCTTGGTTCCATACTTTATATTCACTCTGTATTTGACCATACAGTATAATAATTAAATTAATCTATTTTTTTCTAATGTTATAAACTATTATTATGCCCTGATAAGAAGTTAGCTTTGTAATTGTAGACAAGGAATTTTTCCCACTTTTTATTTTTACGGTCATTAAAAATACTCTTGGTGTCAGTGTATAGTAGAGTTACTACCCACATAAGTCCTACAAGTGTTTAATACTGCAATAACAGGTATTAGTGTTAGCAACGTAAAATTTAAACCGGAAACGACGGTTACAATTTGAAAAGGATGCACGTGTCTGAAACACCTCAGGTATGGATATCTAGCTTATCAATCTCTAGCTTCCTTTTTGATATCGTAGAGCGTTCCTAATT